ATTATTTCGAATACTATACAATAGAAAAATATCTATCATCGCATAGAATCTAACCTAACTTAATCTAAGTACATATAGAAAGGAATCGTTTCTCGATAAAATTAGCTTTTTAAAATATCTATCATCGTATAGCGATAGAACATAACTTAATCTAATCTAACCTAACCTAACTTAATACAGAAAGGTTTCTCGATAAAAGAAAAAAATTAACCCGATTTTTCTTCAAAAATTTTTATAAATTTTTTGTCGTAATTATTTCGAACATTATACAATGGAAAAATATTTATCATCGCATAGAATTTAACCTAATCTAACTACATACGGAAAGGTTTCTCGATAAAAGAAAAAAGTTAATTCGATTTTCCTTCAAAAATTTTTACATTGTCGCAATTATTTCGATCAATTTGTTAAAAATTGTACATTGATGGGAAAATATCTATCATCGCATACCGATAAAAAATTCGCCACAATTTCAATCGCGATTTTCGAATCAACTCGAAATATTTTGCTTTTTTTGAAAAAAAGAGAAAAAAATATCTCTCGACCTCGCTTAATAATTTGTTTCGATCTCGATACTGCAACTATTACTGCAACGATTCACTTTTGATTCCCATACTCGACGAAAAAAAAAAAAAAGAAAGAAAGAAAAGAAAAAATATCGGCTGACTCTAGTTCATTTCTGAACGATTCTCAAAGATTCCATTTTCCGCCTCGCTATATTTATAACACAACCGGCTCCTTCCACGCTTTGCGATCATTTAGGACAATATCGCGATGTGCTTATTAAATCGATTTTTCCTTTTCTTTCAACGAACTTTTTTCCTCTCTATCTCCTCCAGAGTTAAAAACAGCTATTCCCCGATATAATTGAAACTGAGCCATACTTTTACAGCCATGTACAATGTTAATTATACTAATTTTCTATCGTTCCATGCACGATCTTATTGCATATGGATATATGCAATAATCGATACGTGTGTATACATATAATTTTTTTTATCCATCCGTTCGAACGATTAGTTTTGTACAAACAAAGGAAGAGGAAGAGGAATCGTGTTGATAAAATTTTTTTTTTTGTTATGAAAGAAAGGAGAAATTACGATTATTATTTTTTATTGAATTAAACTTTTCTTTCTTTTTTTTTTTTTTAAAGCTTGTTCCATTAATTTATGTAAATAACAAAATTTTTTTGTATGAAAGAAAAGAGAAATTATTATTTTTTATTGGATTAAACTTTTCTTTCTATTTTTTTTTTCTTAAAGCTTGTTCCATTAATTTATGTAAATAACAAAATTTTTTTGTATGAAAGAAAGGAGAAATTACGATTATTATTTTTTATTGGATTAAACTTTTCTTTCTTTTTTTTTTTTAAAGCTTGTTGCATTAATTTATGTAAATAACAAAATGGATACCTTTTTTCCTCTCTTCTGTTGTTAATATGATGGTATCTATTTTTAATTTTAGATTTACAAATTATCCTTTTTCTAAATTATCGTAATTTTATTCTTAATAATTATCAATGAAACCTCTGGAAATTATCTCGCGATTTAATATACATCGTACGATCGAAAGGCATTTAATTCTCTTATTCGAATATTTTTAATCGTAATTTCCTGTTTTAACAGATTCACAAATAATACATATTGGTATCATTATACATATAACTCTCATATAATTGATTAACAAAAACAATAACAATATTACTCATTGGTATAATTCTTGTATTTCAACGCGTTTCAAAGCGTTTCAATTTTATTTCAAAGCATAAAACACGCGGAAGAAAAGAAAGAAAGAAAGGAAGAAAAGTAAGGAAATAATGTAGAACAATGGACATACAGTGAATTCCACGTGCATCTGGTGCATCGAATTTCAATTATTTATGAAACACGTTAAAGATAGGCGTGCAAAATTGTGAAAAATGATTTTATTGCCGGCTTACGAATCGGATTACCCAATATATGTCCGTGCACGTACAATTGATCGAGCGATTCAATCGCAAATTTCTACTGTATTTCTCGTCGAGGAATAGAAAACGCGTGTAACGTATCCCTTTCTTTTATCGCTTCGAACGTATATATATATATATATATATTTCCTTTTTTCTTTCAAAAACGTTTTTTTTTTTTTTGGAAACGAAATTATCTCTCACGAATTATTTACACAATAATAATATTCGAATTTTCGATCGTTAATAAAAATTAAATTATTTATTAGATTATTTTTTTTTTAGATTTTCCTCTTCCTTTTCGACGAAGAAATTACATTTCCTCGGGCATCGAGTTGAAAAACAATTTTTTAAAATTTTTTAAAATTCTTCTTTTAATTACGAGAAGAAGAAGAAGGAGGAGGAGGAGGAAAATAATTTCCTCTTTTCTATGAAAAAAGTTGAAGCACGAATAAAAAAAATATTTTTGATAATGAACTGTGTTAAGCGCGTTCGCAAAGTCGGATCGCTTGATCCGTCGGACGCCATTTCTTCCGACATCGAATGATATTGGGAATTGGCGAAATTGTTTCTTCGTTTTCCAATAAGAAAAACGTGATTTGGTGGCGCGTAACCCACGATAAATTTATTTTCCACGGATCTTTCGCATCGTTCTCGTGCAAAAAGTTCGCGATTTTAGTTAAAATAACAGCCGACTCGAGGGAATTTGTTTGGCCGACGGTTGCTTTCACCGCGATACGTGTTGCGTAAGCGGATTAAGAAACGGATATTTCTCGAAAAAGGAGAATGAGAAAGGAAGAAATGGAAGAATTAGCTCGAGATTAAATATATTAGCTCTATACGATATCACAAATTCTCGTGATATTTATTTAATTTTCGTTCGAATTCCAATTTTTAAAAAGAAATTCAAGAAAAATTTTCTCTCAAGTTTTCGAAATAAATTTTATCCCTTCTATCTTGTCGAACAAAGCTTGTTAAAAAAAGAAGAACTTTATCTGTGTTTCTCTTGGATCAATTAAAATTAAATATATTAAGATAAGCGTTAGAAGAAATATAACCTCAAAAATACTCCAATTCGAGTGAAAAATAATCGTTTAATCCACAAAGTTTCAATACTTTTATCTTATCTCGTTTTCGATCCAGAAACGCATTTCATGGCGAGATAAACAACAAATAAAGAAAGAACGAAGAAATAGAATAATCCTCCCCATAATTGCTGATCAAAAATTTATTATAATTATTATAATATATTAAAATATTATATAATATATATATTATATTTATCTATATATAAATTATATAATCCCTTCCCCTAATATTAAAATCCAACAACAACGTAATTTGAAAAACGGATAACAAAGTGTCGAGAGTATAGAAACACGAGGCACGAGGCAAGGAGATAGAGGCATCGACGATTTTTCGTCGAACAGACGCTATTTCTCGCGTGATTAACGACTTTTTATCCACCGCGAAAAACATTTTTATCGGGGCTAATTACACGATCTGATATAGAAAAAAAAAAGGAAAAAAGAAAAAAAGGGAGAAAGAGCGGTTAAATGTTTATCGCGATAAATGTTTATTCGCCGATATCCACGGGATTTAAACGGGATTCTTTTTACTTTATTTTATTTTTTTTCCTCCCCCAGCCGACGGATGATTTAAAGCGTACTCGTTATCTAACAACCCTTAATGCACAGGGTGGTCTACCCTTTCGGGGCAAACTTCGGATAACATAATTTCTAACGTGTCTAAAAGTTTCACGCGATTATCGCCGTTAAAATATTTCTTCTTTTTCCAGTTAGATAAAGTGGTATATATTTATAAGTAAACTGTTTTCGAACGTTTTTATCCAGATAATTATTATACCCGAGGAGAAGAATTGTTCTGAACGTGTGTTCGTCTAAACATTTATTATTTTTATCATCCCTCCCCCTCTTCTCTGAAATTTGTTTACATGTAATAACGCTCGTGCGAAATTTGAATTTGAATTTTTTTTTTCGAGCGATATCGAGTGAAACTGAAAATCTCGTTCGATAATTTATTCGTATCAAAATTTCACGGTTGAGCGAGGTTTGGTTTTGTCACTCATTTCCGAATTAAAATTCGGAATAATTAATAATAATTATTTTAATTCGAATAATAATTCGAATTAAAATTGCGAAACAGTTCGATTACATTAAAAATTAAATCGAAGTAAATATATTTTGTTTCGTCGAAAAATTCTTTCCTTCGGTCTCGGGAGTCTAATTGAATCTTCAGGATTATTTTCAGCATGGGAAAATGTTGGTAAAATGCTAGGCTACGTTGAATCAGGCAAATGTATGAAGAGCGTAGAATCGTAGTTAACCGACGTTTGCTTAAAAATTACCCACTCGATAATTGCGTTACATGCGAACAGCTGCAGCCAGTTCCTCCATTTTAGAGACATCGTGTTAGGAAAGTTGGAGATGCATAAATATCACTTGTACGTTGTATGTTACTCGCGACACGAGAATAAAATAATTCTTAACTCGAACGAGGATAGTGATTCTTTTTAAAAAAAAAAAAATAATATTTAAATACAGATGTTACGTATTCTTTATTCTCTATTATTACATTTTACACAAAATTACAGAAGAGAGCAACAGTTATGTCTAATTAATGATTTTCAACAATTTCGTTTTAAATTTTTAAACGAAACGACGAAATAAAATTGCTTGGAATAATTTATTCGATTGTTTATCTTTGAAACGAATCTTGTCGTCGTTCGATGTTATATTATAACTAAGCGTAATTTAAAACACGGTGAGATTTTTTCCGATATCGATAATTGCAAATTGGAAACGAGAAAATTATCGTCGTTTCATCCTTACGATCGATAATTTAATTCCTTTCGATTCTAATTTTTCATTTGTCAAATAGAATTTACCTCCCGATCGATAATGCAGGTTATCGTTACTTTTAATCAGTATTACGCGGAATATGGAATATGAACTTATTCGCGCTTAAGAGTAATAACACTGCTAATATGTGTATCTTCAAAATTTGTTACCCGTGTCTAGTTATTTTTTCTCGCGGCAACAAATCCATCATGTTTCTTATTTCACGAATGAAAAAATTGAAAGCGATGTTTCCAACATTTTATCAATTACGAATTATCCGAAAGAAAGAAAGAAAGAAAGGAAAAAAGAAAGAAATGGTCGATTTCAAATGAGCACATTTTTTTCGACAGCCTCGGTCGACAGAACATTTGTTGGCATTCAAGGGCCAACGAAACGTGACAAAACAAATTGCATCTTCCTCTCTCCTCCGGAAATGCTTGCAAAAAAAAACCCTAGTTTTCGCTCCTAGTTCTCTAATACTTCCCCTCGTATAATTGTATGTACTTTGTACGAAAATGAATTTTTGTTTCACTCGAAATATTTATTATTAATCTATTATGGATATCAGTTTCCAATAATTTGAGGATCTGGGATAATTCGACGAAAAGAGAGAAGATCTAGACACTGAATAACAACTCCAATCAAGTTTTAGTTTTATTTCTATGGTGCAAGGAATGAACTCGTTCTCAATAATTAAATCAATTAATAACATTTAAAGATCTTGGATAATCGATGAAAAGATCCATTTTCTTTGATCCAAAGAGTGGAATTGAACACTGAATAACAACTTCAATCAAGCTAGTTTTATTTCTCTATTTCGAACACTCTGTTAATAATTGAACTAACAACATAATAATAATAGATCGTAATTCGACGTATTAAGAGACGAGTATATTTATCCAATCAACGATACAATTATCTATTTCCACAAATCCATCCTCACGATCGACAAGCGCCATCAATAAGTGTAGTGGTACGCTTGCTTTACATTTTTCTCCGTTCGACGCCATTGGAACGGTAGTGACGATCACGTGACAACGTAGTCCGTTCCGTTCGACATCCGTGACATCGTGCTCCCGCGTCCCACGAAACGTGTAATTCGAGCGAAGCGGTGAAAAGCTGGAGGAAACAGGGCAGAACGCGCATGGTATCCCGGGGGGTTGGCCACGATATCGTTGAAAGAAGAAGCCGATGACATTCCTTGAGCAAATAAGGGGGCTAATAATAACATTTAAAGCGTCGCGTGTTCGTAGCTTGGCCGGAAGTCGGCCATTATTCAGCTGGCCCGTATAATGGCAATCACGTAATACAGAGTCTTCGAGAAAAAGAAGAAAAAGAAGAAGAAGAAGAATTCTTGAACGTTTTTCTTCGACAAAATTCGATCGAATTCTATCTCGTCGATTAATGGAACGGATTTTTCTTTGAAGGTAATCCTAGATTTCTGAAATATCGACCCGATGATTCGGTTTGAAAATTTTATGAAAATTTAAAAAAAATAAATGATATTTTTTTATGTCATGGATAAGGTGTCTCTTTGATATAATAGATGTGATATTGTTTACGAAGGGGAAGACGTCGAGAATTATATGACGCACGAACGAAGATAAATAATATGTTTTTTGTTCTCTGCACGAAAGGAAAGAAATAAAAAACAGGCAAATCGGAATTTTAGAAAAAGAAGAAGAATTCAATTCTCGAACGTTTTTTCTGCGATCCTGCGACAAAATTTGATCGATATCTCTTTCATCGATTAACGATAGAACGAATATTTCTTTAAAGGTAATCCTAGATTTCTGAAATATCGACTCGATATATAAATTAGCTCGTCTTGGAAATTTTGAATGAAATATTTCTATTATTTTTATTTATGAAAATTTTAAACAAAAGAAATGAAATTCTTTTATTTTACAGACGAGGTGTCTCTTTTATACAATAGATGTGATATTGTTCACGAAGGGAAAAGATGTTGTCGAGTCAGAATTACGACGCACGAACGAAGATAAATAATAATGTTTTTGTTCCCTGCACGAAAGAAAAAAAGTGGAAAAGCAGAATTTTACACCAGTAGTTGTATATTAAAGTTGCAAGAGAGACGGTGGTGGTACGGTGAATCAAACAAAACCTTCGTTTTAAATAGCGCATAAATCTTAACGCGCTACTCTGTCGAAGATTTCTACACGAGCGAATTATTAATGAGCCTATAGAGCGACTTTTATACCTAGCAACGGAACGAGAAAGAAACTTTTTTCTTATAATGCGTGCAATAAAGAGAAACGGTGACAGCGTTTATTCTCAACGTTTTCGATTTTTTTTAGTAAAATTTGAAACGAAAGACAATTTTGTAAAAAAAAAAAAGAAAAGAAAGAAAGAAAAAGTGCTTCTTTCGCATTTGCAACATCCGTATACAATGATAATTAAAGATAACAATGGGTAGATCCAATCTGTGTACTTGAACGTTGCACAAGTTTCCACGATTCGATTTTTCATTCCCTTCTATCGCTATATACCGCTTTGTTGTTCTTGTTTGTTGCAGTAGGAAGTAATCTACCGACGTCAAACAAGAGGATCGTGACGGTCGGTAGAATCATTCTACGCTTGTCCTTAATTAACCGATTGCGCAAGTTGAGTCAACGCGCATTACTTCGATCGCTTACTTCGAAACTAACTAAACAAATTTTTGCATGGAATATTTTTCTAAATCAACAATTTTACTTAATTTTATTTAATTTTTCTAATACAACAATTTTTATTTTTTTAAAGTGTATTAATATTCTCTCTTATCGGTTCAAATTTTATATACAATATAATGTACAACGAACGAGTTTCGATAGAATACGAAATATACAATTTTTCGAAAAAATTCAGGAACCAAAAGTAACAATCATTCTAAAATTTTCTAAAATTATATATAAAAATTATTAACAAAAAAGTTGATCATCATTGAAATTTAAAATGGTCGTCACAAAAAAATCGAAGAATGTTCAAAAATAGTAGATCCTGCTCGATAACTGTTATAAATGAAGAAAAACTATTTTGATTGCTAATAACAGTTATCGATGATCGAATTTTTTTTTTTCATTTGTTCATAATAATTATTGATAAAAAAATTCATTTCCATTGCTTATTTAATTATTGAGTTATCTACTCCTTCTTTCTCATGGGATGAAACGAGCCCATGAAAAATTGTAAATCTTTACTGAGAGTCGTTTCGAGAAGGTTTCGTGCAAGTGCGAATCGTATAAGAGCAGAACACAAACATCTGTTCGTTAACTGTCTTCGTTCCACTTGTATATATAGACGTACGATTTCTCTTACAATTTTCCTGTCCCGGGACAATCATTTTTCAAAAAATGAATACACGTTTCAACGGCTCGTTCTCAATTAAAAAAAGAAAAAAAAAAAGAGAGAGACACTCTCCTAGAGAAATGGATACAATTTCTCGTGGAAAAACTTCTCGATCGTACACCTTTTTGCCGCGTGCACGAGCACGTAGATACCGACTGGTGGCGAACCACCACCGACTTCCTTTCCTTTCCTTCGATCATCGGTCGCAAATTACGACACTT